CCCCCCCTAGCCGGGCTGAAATTCGCCATGTAATCAGGCCCTAATAGGTCTGCAGAAGACATGCTTTCTACCCCCTTTAATATGACACAACAGTGATTCAACGAAGACTTGAGCAGATGTGTAACTGGGCCTCTAGTTTAGTCTGGTTTAATAATCTCACCTCCGCACTGGTTACAGCTTTGTCTACAGTTTTTTAACATCCACAAGGGGTTTATTTCACATTGTTCTTGATAAGCCCACACCGGGCAGTTTGGAGATGCATCCTTGCATTCTGGAAGTGTATAAAACAGTTTTTTATAGTTTTAATCTTTCTACACTAGTTCGACCAACTAATTTGTTATTTGTCATTGCTTTTATTCCTGGAATTCCGGATGTAGCTGCAATCAATTAAACAACGATTTGTTCAAAAACAACATCCTGTGGAGCCGCGGTTGCCTGGTGATTACTGCAAGCTAACCCTGTTCCAGTTTCCGGATTCAAAAAGCTCAAAAAAACTCTATTTACTCTCACTGTGTCTCTCTTCGACCTGATCAGTCGGGGAATAGGTAAATTAGTGCCAACAAATTGTTTGAAGTTCGTTAGAGGGGGAGGGGGGAGAGGGTAGTCTATCGGACGTTTGTTGGGGAGTAGCTTGTACGAAGTTTCTTGGGGGGTGGTAGCCTGTTCAAAGTTTGTAGGTGGTAGCCTGTTTGAAACTTGTCGGGGGTTGGGGTGGTGGGTAGGCTTGTTCAAAGTTTGTTGGGGCTAGCCTGCAATGAGTTCCCATTCAGGTGGAGAAGCGATACTCCTAGTCTTTTCATTTCACAGTCAAGCGTTGGTCTTTTGTGCCAAAATTATACATGTAAGGATCCAGAAAAGACTGTTTTGTTTTTTGTGTTTTCCCCTAGCTGTCAGTTGTGTCGTAGGCTAACTTTGCCAGTAAAGCAATTTCGAGCTTCTGATTGGTTGCAGTCGACTTTGGGCACTCGATCAAAATGCCATACATATATACATTTTATTATGTTTTGAGATTAAAAGTACAATTATAACATGCGTGCGGGTAGCTGAGCTAATCTAGGCGGGTTCTGTTTACAGGAATTATATACAACTATGTACAACTAAAGGCAACAAGAGAACTGAAGAAACTAAAATTGACAACAATGACTAGAGACCACTAATAAACTAACGGTATTACAAATAATAATTAGCAACAGTTAATTATTTATAGCAGTTAATTATTAATTATACCTTTAGGCATCTGATGATGTTTACAGCTGACACAGCAGTTCGGTATCATCCACAGGGGGTTCTTTTCACACTCGCCAATAGCCGCCCACACGTCACAGCGAGAATGTTGGTTGGTCTTGCACTCTGAAGGCAAGAACCAATGTCAGATTATCTCGCAAACCTTCACAGTAACGATATTTTTATTACAAGTAAATTCATTGTCAGTAAGAAGCAAACGCTTAAAGACATCTTTCCTCGGGTTTCTAAATTCAGCAAGGCTTAACAAACATATAAATAGATTATAGTAAAATTGTAAGGAGCCCACCCTGGATTGTATACGGACTCAGGCTCCAGTCCGCCTACTTGTCATCTCGTTTCGAACTTGATGCGGTAGGGCTTTTCACGTTACTTTGTGAATCAAAGACCAGTTTTACGTTCTGAGGTTTATGGAAAAGCCAGGGACGAGCAACACAAGCGAGTTGTTTGACGAAAACTAATAATGAAAGATCATTAAATAATTATGTTTCTGCTAGACAAGGAAATCATCTTTTTTGTAATGCGCTTGTTTGACCTCAGGAAACCTGGAAACGCCTCAAGGTTTCATAGGTCTGAAGAGCGTGCAATGCGTCTAATTGGTTGTTACAAGCGCGCGGAGATCAACCAATCAGAGTCACTACAGGATTTCTGCAGAGCTACGTCATCAGCAGCAGGACGAACTCTGGGTTTAACGAACTCCAGGTTTAATGTCACAAGACTCAACAAGACAGGGAGAGGCCACGAACAAGCGCTGGATTATATGATGACAACAAGGCACGCGTAGACGAGGGAAACCGCAGAACTATGCCGCTGACGCTCAGACAAGTCTCTTTTTTTCCCACGCTACTATCTGTCGAAAGACATGATGGTTCAAAGGTAACGTAAGGACTTCCTCAATCTTTTTTCGGAAGTGAAAACCATTGTATTCATTACTCGAGAAAGAAAGCATACCTTGTGGTGTGGGCGTAAGGACATTTGGGTTTGAAGTTGTCAACGAAGAACCTAGAACAAATCAGATATATTAACATCACAAGAAAATATTTTTCATCTTTTTAATGGCTCAAAACTGACCCATGATGATTTGATTTGTTGAGAACACACATGGTAGAAGTTGATATTCGTAATTTTACCATCAACGCTGGTCATAGAGCTTCTTTGACTGGTGCTTCATTGCGCATGTGTAAAAGGAGGAAAGATTTACAATGGAGCTCAATTACTTCAACTTGCAGTGTTCTCTGCATCTTGAGCGTTTAAAGCCAAAAGTTGGAGGCTAGGGTGGCGCCGTGTTCAAAGTTCTCTTCAAGGGTCTTAATAGATTCTCTGAACTTATGGTAAGCAAAGTCACTGAAGTTTGGACAAAACGCCCTCTGCCATTTATTCCACTGGTTGGCAAGCAAAAATCACTTACTTGTAGTCGCTGTTGCTGTGGGTGGTGGTGTTGGGACATTTGTTGCAGGAGCTGGTGTAGTGGTGGAAGTTTTACTGCCGTCATCTAAAGGTACATGGAACAGCATCAAAACATTGACAAGATAGTTGAAAATTGACTTCAGTGTAAATGCGATGGTACATGCTACATGAAACTGTTTACGCAGCAGTATTTCCTCCTTGTGAAACATTGACCTAACTGTATTATTTATTTCTCAAGCATACTAATCAGTACCGCAGTATCCACAAGTCGCAGCACAGTCAATCTTCATGTAAAACGCCTGGCAGTCGTGCCCATGATTCATTCGCCACACGCAAGTGTCTTTCCCGGCAGCGTCAAAACAACGCACTAAAAAACAATTTGAAGGAGTATTATATGAAGTATATTATGAATGGCACAAAGGGGAACATTTCTGTAAACCTTAAACTTAAAGATATATCTCACAAGACAAACCACCACGAAGAGTATTCCCTAACCTTTATCAGAGCCAATTTTTGGACACGCAGGCATTTTTCTCGAAGTTAAAAGACGTGATATTTTGGGTTTGAGCTTAAAAACAAATTTCTAGTGCAATCCTGAATAACACATTAAAACCTAGCTGGATTAATTTTGTCTTGATAATTCTCCGTTTACTTCTTCATATTTTACAGCAACCAAATCATAAGCTTAAGCACTGGAATCAGTGAGAGATCTCTCATAACTTTCATTTTTCAAGACGTTGCAAAACCTAATGATATCTTTGCACAGTTTATTATTGAAATACTTGGCCACAGATTACTTTACACTTTACACTTTATTGAATTTGTTGCATGTACAATGGAAAGAAAGAAAAGAAAATAGCATCAGCAACTGGAGCAGAAAACAGGACGATGTCTCAATTGATATTCAACCCCGATAAATATTAACAAAATAATAATAATAATTATAATCGTAGAGGTAGTGGTAAAAGTAGTAATAATTATCATATAATGTTATTTATGATCAAGTTAATTTAAAATGATTTCATTAACTTACACCCTCACGACTTGGAAGATTATAAGAAAAGGTTTTATCATTATAAAATTAACTCCGGCAATTTGATTAAGTTTATGTGAAGGTGAATTAATCAACATGACACGAGCGTGGGACAAAGAAAAATTCTGAGTCCCCGACAGGAATCGAACCCATGACCTCCCGAACACCGGNGAGCGTGTGACAAAGAAATATTCTGAGTCCCCGACAGGAATTGATTAAGGAATTGATTAAGTTTACTTTCACAATTTTCTCCGTAGTAGCCAGGAGGACATTCCTTCTCTAAACGGAAGAAAATATTGAACAAAGTAAATTGACATTGCTCTCATTGTTTATTCATCACCGTAAACTTCGAATGTAACGACCCCACGAAAGAAGCGAGGCCCGTAAGTAGCGAGCCCCGAAAGTAGGGAGCCCCGAAAGCAGCGAGCCCCGAAAGCAGCGACCCCTGAAAGCAGCGAGCCCCGAAAGTAGTGAGCCCCAAAGGCTGCTAATTCCAAAAGTAACCAGGGACCCGTTTCTCGAAAGCCCCGGAAACTTTTCGGGCCCGTAAAGCCATTTTTAGTCCATCTCTATCTCAACACGGAGAAGTGTATACGCCTGAAACTTCTTGTATGAAGGGAACTTTTCTTCATATTGGGAATATGTGAATAAAACAGCTCTGTAATCGTAAGGTTCGAGATTTTTGCTATGGCTTTACGGGCCCGAAAAGTTTCCGGGGCTTTCGAGAAACGGGCCCCTGGGTCATTACTTTTGGAAGTTTACGGTATATTATGAAGTTTTTCTGAGCAGTCCATACTTTAACATTTCTTCATAATTTTACTACCTCAAGTTATTTACCTGAACAATCTAGACCCTTCCAACCTGAAGGACACGAGCAAACACAATTCTGGAGGTTTACTGTTCCACCATTTTGGCATTTCAAAGGACACTCTATAAGGATGAAGAAAAAGATATTTGACAAAACTTGCGATTTCAACGGTACATACTTTATTTCCATCAGCAAAGTCAGCCAAGGTTGACTTAACTTACCGCACAAGTTGCACATCTTTGGACATTTCTTGGCCATTAATTCACGCTTTGTAGAGCACAATTCCTTGGTGAGACTTTTACCACATTCGCTGTCAAAGTTGTCACAGTCCCCTTAAAGAACAAAATTACATTACATCGGAAAACGCTGGAAAATTTGCTTACTGTGTAATTTGGTATCCTCTAGATTTGGAGCACACTGTCGTAACTGTCCTCTTGCATTTTGCAAACTGTGTAATATATTCTTACTTGAGCTGAGTTACTGAATTTTTTGTACAGTAATTTGGATAAACAATGGAAGTATTATACGCTTAGTACACGCCCTTATTCCACTGTTCTGCGATGATGTGCTAAGTTTCCTCCATGTAACGCAGTAGAAAGGAGGCGATATTTTTTGTCCCAGTGTAAGACCTCCCGTGATGAGCTCTTATGTTTAAGTGACCTGAGTGATCTCCTGAAACTTTTAAGACCTATAATAGGTACTTGAATCCAGTTTGGGAGTGCGTATAGTTCAATTCACTTTTTATACTAAAGGAATTCTTATGTGGACTCTTTATTGACGAATAAAAAAAATTAATTTTTAAGCAACCTTTATTTACTCTAGGCAGTGTTTATGGCATAAAGGCTAGTGAGGCCGAGCAAACAACTGAAACAAATAAATCAACTTGAATCCCAACTGGCCGCAGGCAAACCAGTTGGCTATTGACAAGTGTTTCCGAGGATTTGAACTCGGAGCTTCCATGAAATAAATCCAGGTAGTGGTCAAAACGGAACTCGAACCGGGGACCGCTGGATTGCGAGTCCGACGCGCTGACCACTCGGGCACGCTGCCTCCTACGAAGGCCGGGTACCATTTCCAGACAAATCGATTTTGAATGCTGCAGTGCCATGGAGAGTCACGCTGCACCGAAAGGCGAGGGAGGGGACGTAAAACAAAAAGCCGTGGGTGTAATTTGGAAGAGGCAAGAACTTAGTGGATTCCTGATCTGAAAAGGTCAGCCTCAATAGCCCTGGAAATCGTCGTCACACGAACCACTGAATTCATACTCACTACATAGATTCTTGTAGCAAAATCCTTTACCAGAGGCGCATTTAGAGCATGGAGTTCCTCTCTTGTAAGGATATTCCCCAATTATGTTACCTCTTAAAGAAAACCAAGCTGTTAGAAATGTCTTTCATGTACTTTCTCGAGATAGAAATATAATTCTAACATAGCATGCACTAGGTGAACATTGAGCCACAACAACAACAATAATTTATGTTTGCACCTTGACAACATACATGTACGTTGAGTGGCTGGTCACCCAAAATAACTGAAAAGCTAGACTAATAGGGTGACCACCTTAAGAATTTCATGAATAAGCTTTTGAAAAATTGGCAAATCTGGTGTTCCATATTTTGTACAAAAGTCGACGTGATAAATTGACGTATGGTTTTTTTTTTGTTTTTTTTTTTCTTAAAATATTGACGATACAGCGTACCGGTCAAAATGGTCCACTAAATTGACATCTGCTTTAAAGTTGTTCTTACTGCACAGAAAGTAATGTGCACATGTCTTACGTTGGGCCATAGTCGCAAGTGACAACTGTCTCTCCAGGAATCCAGGGGTGAGGTATATCAAAATCCATGTCGCACCACTTGACGCCGCATCCTATGTATTTCGTTTTAGCCCATACAAGCTTCACAAACAGATCAGAACAAGTCGTGTGATTTCATAACTCTTTTAAAAGCGTATAAAGTTTAAGTAGAGAAATTTATGATGCTTGCTAAGTCGTTAAGGCCCCGTCCAAGCTCCGCAGGAGAAATTTGAAAACGTAACAATCACCGGTCATTTTGGATTTGTGTTTGAGGAAAATCGGACAGGGAAATCACATGTCAAATCAAATCGTTTTCGAAAAGCCCCGTTTTCAAAACGTTTTCCTTTCACACTAAAACACAAAGCCAGCGTTTTCAAATTCCTCCGGTTTGAAGAGCGTTTTCGAAAAGCTCCTTTTTTGTGACGGATTAGTTTGGACGGTAGGCCTAACCGGAGAAATAAAGCTACGTTTTCAAATTTCTCCTCCGTAGTGTGGACCCGGTTTTGGATTGTTAAGCAACACAATTATGCGTGAGAAGCTCGTAGTTCTTATCTATAACCCCTTGTTACTTGAAATACCTGTGTGTAATGTCCGCATGGCTCTTTAGAACAAGAGGCTCCCATCGGGTTTGTAAACTTGCTGTATGAGTAGTACCGGCGCTCCTGGTACCAGGACTTCACGCGGTCGTCTGGGTTGTCAAGTGTTCCCCACTGTCGCGCTAGATTTTGACCTGTTTTGGAAACAGTCCGAGAAATATATAACCATGATCAAATGAGATTGGTTGTTTGGGAGTCTTACTTGCTCAGTAATTTACAGGGCTGAATACGGGTCATCCTTATTGGCTAGTACACGTCATTTACAACATGCTCTTAGGGACGGACCATTATTTCACTAGTATACCATTTGATTACCTATAATATCGTGGGTGACAAATTACGCTCGCAATCGTTGGTTTTTGACTTGATTATTGTATCGAGAAATTTTGCGCCAAACATTGCCATGGTAATCTTAATTTAACATGTGAAATTATAAAGTAACGCTGAAATTTCGCCCCAAAATTAAGGAGTAACTTATCGCCCATGATATTACAAATATTCCATTATACAAGTGTGGATCAAGTAAATTATCGTACCCACTCTTTTGAAGTTAACAGCATGAGGGTATTCGTCACCGAATTCAACAAACCCGTGTTCCCATACACATTGGTTTGACCACATCTGAGCTAGGTTGGCAATGTCTTCGTCCCAAAACTGAAGCATAATAGATAACATTATTGAAAACATTGTACCCTACACTCTAAGGAAATGATCTTAGAATCGTCTGAAAACTTTACAGCAGAGCATATGTGATTGTAACAAAGCATTGAAAGGGTATTCACCAATTTTATGCAAAACTCGAGATGTCAGGTAGCCGTTTTGTTTAATTTTCAAAGTTCTCTTACATTAGCTCTTAGATTTTCTCTGTTTCTATTTGTTTGTGAGCGTGTGGAGGCGTTTCGATTCGTCATCAGCCAATCACGTGTAATTTAAATCCAAGTGTTTTCTTGACGTAGTTTGCATGAACACACGCGAGGACGGACATTTGTAGCTGCAGTGGACTGCAACAACCTTCAATCTGCTGTGTTCATCGTTATTTGATATACACAGTCAGTTCGTGCACTGGTACGAAAAGAGAAGAGAAAAAAAAATGCAGTTGTCCGGGTCTGGTCGACGGACGAAGAGCGCACGAAGAGACAACTAACATTTCAGACAATCTTATGGTGTAATCTTTATCCTGGCCAAAAAAAAAAAGTTGTGGACAGACCCCACATCATCTCTAAGTAGTGTTCCCAGCCTAGCTTGCTGGACAAGATTCTACGCCAGTCAAATTGGCAACTTAATTAGCAATACACAATCAAACTTGAGATGCTCTACTTACCATATACTCCATGTCCGCAGCAGGTGGATCAACCATTCCGCGATATTTGTTGTGGTCGTCCAAGAAGTTTTCCTTTTGTTCCGCAGAAAGCTCACAAATGGCGAAGTCCTCGCCCGTCGGCTTTAACCGATCCGCAGGCTTTATCAGACCCATGGCGGATACGTTGTGATTCCCGCTCATCAGTATAAGCGCTGCGACAACAGCTAAGATTGCATTACACATGAATAAATCCTGTCCGTGTTTCTTGCTTAAGCAAAACATCTGATTGCCTCTTTTTGTTTGTGTTTATATTATAACAATGCTTGTTTCTCACAAGGTCAGTTCAAAGCGTGCCATTTGGTGTAAACTCCGTCGGTTCAACGCGTCAAATAGTGTTTTTAAATTAGAGATTCACACCTCCGTGCCTGACTTCTTTCAAGGGAGAATTTAAAGCGATAAATTATTTGATTGGTTACTCCCTGCAAGCAGAATTTTCTTTTTCCACCGATACAAAAGCCTTGTAACATATTGTTCTGCTCTCAATGTTTCCTTTGTGATTCGTTACTTGTCGGAAGTACAGGTGCATAAAACGTTTCTTGGTTTGGTACCTGTACAAATGTGTTACTTTTTATTGCTTAGAACTGCCCTGTATTTCAAATGGAGCCTCGTTAAAATGCACCCTGGTATAACGGATTGATTTACAGAATTAATTCTCAAATCGAACTGTTTTACAGCATCGACTGACAATGTTTTCATATTGTCAAACACCAGTCATGGATGGCCTGTTTGGTGCGTGCATTCATGAAGTGAACTGCCGCTTAGAAGCCCTAGGCTATTACAACTTCATAGGGGCTTTTAGATGGGCTTATAAACGGAGGGACTTATATAAGTCCGAGGGGAACCGGAATTAAAAAATACCGTTTCGAAACGAGCTATAACTGCACATGTTGATCGAATTAACAAATCGAATGTGGTTTAGCGTGGTCTGTACTCTTATCGACAACGATATGCGTCAGCACAGTGGTCAAAATGTTGTGGACTCACGAGGCGCAGCCACTAATCCGTCACGAAAACGGGACTTTTCAAAAACGCTCTTCTGACCGGAGGAATTTGAAAATGCCGGCTTTGTGCTTTAGTGTGGACGGAAAACATTTTGAAAACAGAGCTTTTCGAAAACCATTATGTCACGAAAATCCTGTGATTTCCCTGTCCAAATTTTCTCCAAACACAAATTAAAATGACCGGTAATTGTTGCGTTTTCAAATTTCTGCGGCGTAGCGTGAACGTAAAACATTTGACGCGTTTTCAGAATGTAAACACCGTTTTCAAATTTCTCCAGCGTAGTGTGGACGGAGCGTTAAGTTATCTTACATAACGCTTTGATTGTGACTTCCTCATGAGTTGTTCCTCGGACTATTTTCTTCTATTAATATCATTGTAGAGATGATGGCCATAATGCAATGAATGTGATGTGTATCCTCATTCTTAACTTGCGTTTAGGCCCTTTTTCCGTCGCCTGCGTAACCGCTTGTGATGTCGAAGGAGGCGCAAATTCTTTTGCTCAAGCCGGTCCTCTCCGTACCTTCTGGGACACGAGTGCGGTCAATAAATTTTCCGCCTTGGGTGTCGGTCATGACAAGAGCCCCAGAAATAGAACAAGACTTGGACAGAAAGATGCATAGGATAACAGTCACTTGTATGTCACGTGAGTGCCCTTTTTATACTTTCTAAGTAGTGTGATTACTAGCCACAAAAACTGTTTCGTCTCCCGTTAGTAAACTGAGAATAAAAAAAAATGCAATATTTAGAGAGGAAGCCACATCAGCCTTAGCTGGTTTTCTTCCGGGTCCTTTTAACTGGTCGAATTGGAATTTGGAGATGTTGGTTTTTGTGGAGGGAGGAAAACCGGAAAACCCGGAGAAAAACCCATGGAGCAAGGACGAGAATCAACAACAAACTCAACCCACATATGTCACCGGGCCGGAATCGAACCAGCGAGCCACACTGGTGGGAGGTGAGCGCTCTCATCACTGCGCCATCCCTGCTCCCCAACTGGTCTTTTAATTTCTTTTTTACAGTTTCGATAGCATTTCACAGTTTCGATGTCGGTGCTTTTTTGTCTACTGGTTTTAAACTTTTGCGGTCATGCATGCCGATTGAATTTTTATTCACTACAATCTCCTGTTTTCCGGAAATTCTTGCACTACCCAGCCGATCAAAGCAATTTTCGCCACTACCAAATAAGGGAACAATATCGGTTCATCCTCTCATCTTGCTCCAAAGGCCGCTCTCAAACTTATCGCTGGCGTTTGTAACAGCAGCACCGGCAGGTTTGTCTCAAAGTGACCAGCATGAATTGTGTATCAGTCATTTCACGGTCTCGAAGGACATATTTTCCTGCTTGATGACCGATGTTAACAGACTTTCTAGAATGTAGCATAAGTTCTGTTAGATGTGGTCCGGGCTAAGGGTCCGGGCCCAAGCTCTGGCCGAGTCGCGTAATTGCGTATGTTAATGTTTTCCGGACAAGACATGTAAACCTTACAGGGTGTCTCACCAATTGGTATAAACAAGTGCATGCGAACTATTGTGCAAACTGATGAAATAACGTGTGTAGGGGAGGGGGGAGGGGGGTGGGACCTTACCGGGTATGGAATGCAACCAATCCAAGAGGGTAGCAAAACTCTCAGTCACTTTATGCTACACATACTGGAGTTAAAAGCCGGACTTGAAGCTCCTTAATTTCCTTCAAAATTGAGAGAACTTTCCAGCGTCAAAAGATTGTAATACCTAAAGTAAGTGATGATTTGCTCAATGATAAAACGAAAACAGCAAAATCTGAGACATTAAAAAAGTGTTTTTTTCAAGTCAAATGCAACAATTTTATTTAATTTTATAGCGATAAAGCTACCCGGAGAATCTTTTTAGCGGTAGATACAAGCCTTAAAGGCGCTCAATCAAGGTATTTTAGCCGCTTACAAAATTACCTTGAATTAAATTGAAAGACACCTGAAAATAATAGTTTATTAAAAAGAAAAACACTACAGAGATAATAATAAACCATAAGGGAACAAAGATGGCTAAATATGGAGAAAATTAACACGGACTGCAAACGACGAACTTGAAAAATTTAGGCTAAACTTTTCAAGACGCGCAAACCGTGATGTACCTTCTTTAACCTTGCTTTAAACAAGATAACTGCTGAATCTTATGCAACAATACAAAATGAATGTTATGTATAAATAAGTTTTTTTAAACCTATTCTAAAGCAAAGTGTTGTCGCTTTTCTTTATTAACAATAATAAAGTAATAGTATTATACGTAATTCATTCATGGGTATTTTAACTTATGTTAGAGCAGGTTTAAAAATTATAGATCTGGGTAACACACTTAAACCAATATGGCGGGCATTTACTGATTCTAATGGTCTTGGTTCCAGCGCTGCAAATTTGAAATTCATGTAGCTTATTTTTCCATCTACTGGAAAAATATCTCACTTTGCTGATGTTTTTAATGCAAGAAAAGCGATCCATTGTTTCCAAACACTTGTATGACCGCCATAAAGCTAAAGCGATCTACGGTGGAACTCCGCCTTACGGTCACCCCTTTATTACGGTTTTTTTTTTTTTTGTCCCAGCGAAAGGCCAGTACATTTTCTTACAAGGAAACCCCGTTAATATGGCCAACGGCTACATTCTAAAATCCCAACCTGTATAATCCCTTAAAATTTTACCCCGTTTATACAGCCACTCGAACCAGTTATGTTCATCTTTCCAATGTTAATATTTTATGAACTGATTGAAATTTTAATTTTGAAAAAATTATATTTGAATTCCGGATGCTTGTTAAAGAACAGTTGTTCAGAAGTGCAATTATGGTATCTCTGTTAAGACGTCACTCAGTTTAGACCAGTCATGAAATTTGACCCTATCCCATTAATGTGGCCAAATTTTCATGACCCTTTGTTGACTGCATTAACGGGGTTCCACTGTAATTACAAAGTGGCAATCATTTTCCACCACTTTGACGTTTTACTCGGGATAATCACTTTACAGATGGCCCTATCCGCTGTCTCGCAAATTCTCTTAACTGTGTCGAACTTCTTCCCCGTGGGACAGGCCACGTGACTTGTGACGCCATTTGAACACGCAATGTATCCTAGGCATGTGGTGGGGGCCTGGTAATTACCATTTTCTTTTCCACCGCAAAACGAGGTTTCTGAAACTAGAAAAGACGCGGTCATTTGCGTAATATGAGAGGAGAAAACAACCGAGGGTGATAAATGTTTTGTCCATGAGATTGCGCTAAGTCCTCGTGGATTATTGTCTCCTTTGGGACAGTAATATAACAGGGTTATTCTTAGGCATTCAACAATGAGATCTTGGTACTTTATTAGGAGAATTTTTGCAGTGATTTATTTACTTTACTTGGAAACATTCTACTCAAACTCCAAACTCTTGGATCTTTTTTTCCAACCTGAAAATAATACTGAATCTGGAAACAAGGCGACATGTGTTACTGATTTGGTAGGCAACGTGAAGAATGAGGCTAAACCTTGAGCATTCTTACGTGAAAACTCAGAGCAATTTTTCCTTTCAAGAGCAACGCGCGCGAGTATTCTCTTTTTTCGACAGGGTCAGCGAATAAGGGTCATTATTGATCTGTCCAATCAGATTCCACCATCGACAGTTTACTTTAATGTACATTTAGTTGTACGTCTATGCCATGTCCTTTTGCTAATCTTGTAAATTCTCGTCACGTGCCTCTTTCCATGGTACTATTCTAGTCAGGAGGAGTTAGTTACAGATCTTCGATATTTTACCATTTATTAAAATGTACTTACAAGGAACGTAGCAGCTCCTAGGACAATTATCCACCATCCAAGTCCAATTAGACTTTTTACATTCGTCCATCGCCGACCAGGCGGGGCAATCGTTGTATCTGTCATAAACTATCAAAAAAAGGTTTTGAAAATCTTTGACGATTAAACTTTTACATGGAAAACTAAAGGAACGTTGCATGACAATGCAAGTATTTCCTCGACGGGCTACAAATCAAGCTTTTCTTCGCACCACAGCATAACCAAAATTCACCTATTGACATACCGAATACCATTATCGTTTCTGGAAAGAGACCTGTATGTTTATCTGTGCAAATATGTTTATCTGGGCAAATGTTGACCGAAAATAGATTATTCACTGATTAGCAAAACTCTTTAATTAGTTTTTCTTCGCCTTCCCCTCCTCTTTCCTGGTTAGGAGAGAGGGTGCGATGGAAGGAAGGGGAGGGGAACAGCCTTATCAGATTCCTTTTTCCGAAATGGTCCTAGTTAAAATTCCTCGGCTTTTATTAGAGGATTTCAAAGTACTTACGACCGAAATGGTGTACATCGTATACCCATGGGGGTCTTAAATAATGGTGTGGAAGAGGAACATATAGAACTCTTTAGCTTGGGCGGCTTGTTGCCCCATTTCAGACCATGTGATGATACTCTTGAGAATTCTTGCTTTCGAATTTTCAAACAGTCGCCTGTATATTAATGAATAATTTTTGTAGTGGGAAAACAAATCGCCCAAGCTGAAAAGGTCTATTTTACTATCAGAAAATAATTTTTGAAGATATTTTGGGGTATAAAGTGTAAATTGCTATCTCAAAAAGAAAAACGCACAGTCAAAAAAAAATACGAATCTGATCACTGCCTTGATCAACAACTCTCACCTTTGCACAAGCCGCAGCTCCTTCTACAGTTGGTGTTCATCCATGTTATTCTGCTTCCCGAGCTGCATTCGTCCAATAAAGCCCAAGATGGACACCTGTCATCTGTGTCTTTGCAATCTGCGTTGCACGATAAGCTTGATTAGTGCATTACATGATGTATATTAAGAAGCTTCGCCTGTTACAATGATATGCCTCAGTAGAGGGTGTGGGTCTTTGTCCTGTGAGGCCTGTCGTTGTAATAACACAGACATGCGTTAATTTGGTTTTTTCTGTTTTTGTCAAGAGGTAATGACTAAGGCAGCATCCACACTACGCCGGAGGAATTTGAAAACGCAGCTTTAATTGTACGGTTAGGCCTACCGTACACACCAATGCGTCACGAAAATAGAGCTTTTCGAAAACGCTCTTCAAACCGGGGAACTTCGTGTGGACGGAAAACATTTTGAAACGATGGCGTCAAGATAATCTTGTGACTTCCCTGCCCGAGTTTAATTTTCCTTAAACACAAGTCCAAAATGACCTTTCATTGTTGCGTTCTTAAATTTTTCCGGCGTAGTGTGGACGAAAACCATTTTATACGTTTTTAGAGTGAAATCTCCGTTTTCAAATTCCTCCGGCAAACTGTGGACGCTGCCATAATCAGCAACCATACTTCTCGACCTTTTTCTTTTTGAAACGCGGACAGAACCTTACGCGGTTAGAGAGGGGGGGTTGGGGAAAATATCCGCCAAACCTCCCTTTATAGATATCTTCAAAAACGAACATTACACTCAAGTCCTTGGAACTCATCCAGTCCTTTAACGGTCGTGTGTTAGGTTAATTAGAAGTTTAAGCATTTAAACTGTGGTTAATGAGCTCTGTAGTCTACATCAGAGCTGTCATCCAAGGTTCTCACCAGTTCTGTTATCTTTTCCTTATTAGCCATTGTGCAATAACCTTAGGTCAATGTCCAATGCAACCCAATAGTTTTACTATATGGGAAATCATACGACAAAGCTCCCAGTGATTTTCCACCATGCTCTCATCTGATTTCAGCGTGCTATACCCCTCCCAACTCCTTCAATCCCCAGTTAGTAAAACCCCATTGTTTTCTGATCCTGTCCCATTTGTGAGCTAGTATTCAAGCTACGCCGTTCTCCGCTTTCCCCTCCCTCCCTCCCTGTATTGGTAGCTTTGTCCTTTCCCATCTCTTTCCTCAATGTGGTTGTAATTACCTTTCGTGAGAAGGTGGCTTTCGCCTGCTGAACCTTCTCGGTTTATTCACTGCCACGTTCTATTTGTTATATTGTGTGTAAACCATAGCTGCTTAGTCAATAAAGGTTTTTTGGTGGCAGGGAAGTGCAACCTAGGCGGCACTTTGCCCCACAGTAAGTGCTATGGCCACCCTTGGAAATAGGTCCGGATCTCTCCAGGATGGTGTGATCGTACCATCTGACCTATTGTCCTCCCAGAGGGGTACCCCATCTTCTGGTCCATCCTATGTTACTTCCAAGGAAATAGGTCCGGATCTCTCCAGGATGGTGCCATCGTACCATCTGACCCATTGTCCTCCCAGAAGGGCACCCCTCTTCTGGTCCCCTTAGTAACATAGGTTCCCCTAGAGACGCCGCTACTCTAGGGGAGATAGGCTCTGTCTTCCCTGCCACCCATCCTCGCTGGTACTGTTAGATCTGCCCCTCCCCCTGTGTGGGTGTGGCTTTAATAATTTATACTAAATTGCACACCAGCAGGGTCTCATTAATTAATTCACTTCGATCGAGCCTTTGAGTTTTCAGGTTTTTAGGTCTAGTTTTCATATATTGATCTCACCTCCACACACGTTGCAGCTCTTTCTACAGTTTTTTGTCATCCACACTCGGTTTCCTTCACATTCCCCATTGAAGGCCCACGAAGCGCATTTTTCAGATGAATCAATGCAGTCTGCAAACCAGATAATATTTTCTCTCTTCAGTTCTTTTTTAAAGAATAATGAACTTTTCTGGTATATGTCTACACAAATCCACGGGTGCAATAAAGAGTACGGTAAAGAGCGTGTTGTGAACTTGAAGAGATAATTCAGTACTTTACTTGCTATTCGTCTCTCTTGTTATTAATTTCGTTATTGATGCATCGTTGACCCTGAGGAATGTCCTATTTAAAGCTGATAGAAATACTTATCGCAAATGGTCAAATGTGCCCCTGAAAAAGATACCAGAACGTCGTGGACTTCGCTGGAGTGTATTTTTCCTTTCACAGCAGAAGTAAAAAGATAGTTGTATAAAAAAGATACCAAAGTATGCATTTTTCAACCACTAAACATTACTACAGGCAATCCTCAGTGGCGTATAAGTGGTTCCACGCCGTACAGAACAATGCTCTCTTTCGCATTTATTCAAAAAGAAAATCTTTTTTCTTTTATTTTTAGTACGCGCAAAAAATGAAATCAAGAAGGCTTCCTTGAAGGTGTTATGGACAAAATATGCACCATTTAAATGGTTAACGTACCTTTTGGAGCATTATGGTATTTACAGCTGACGCAACAATTCGGTATCATCCATAACGGGTTTTTTTCGCACTCACCCACCGCTGCCCATCCTTCACAGGACGACTCTAGGTCGGTTATACATGCTGATACTGAGAAAACTGAAGCAATTAGAGATATTTAGAGCGATTAAGTTAAAGAGTGTTATTGTTTATATGGCCTGTACTGGAGTTCTGTTACACCTTTATCCATGTTAAATTTTACCACTTTATTTCTTGAGAGGGTTCCTATCATTACTAATGTTTAAGAAAGAGTTTCCAGTTCCTAAATGTTAGTTCTCTAGCTTAAGTAACTGATTCCAAACCTGGCACACGCGAGAGAGAATCGGGCGTCTGTTTCAACCAGGCATTGGGTTTTTGGAACCAACAACTCAAATGACATTTCAAACTATTCTTTAGTGACCCTCCGAGGTTATTTAACCACTGTCGTAAAGCCACGTTTGGTGCACAATTCACGCTTACCTTGAGGCGCAGCTGGTATTGGATAACTCACTACTTCAGGTTGTGTTGTAGCCGGGGGAGGGACTGTTGATATGAAGTACAGGAGAAGAGAAGAAGAGAGAGTCAAGTTCTCGGTTGGAGTTGTTTGAGGAGTATGCATGAATTTTAATTAAATGAGCACAAGAATTGAGATCACGGACATAAACAGTTCTCCGTTACAACTGCTTTGCTTCTGTGTTAAAGATCAAAAGCCTCGTTTGCCTCGTTTCAATGTTCTTGGTCGAAATTGCCTCGCTTCTGTGTGTCTAATCGAAAATGCCTCACTTCCATGTTTCTGATTGTAACTGTTTGGCCTCTATGATTTTAATCATTTCTCAAACAGAATATTGGTACTAACAACACGCTTCTGTCGATAGTTGAGCTTTCTAAAAGGCTTTTTATCTTAGTTCATTTCCAACGACGAAAACTTCCAAGAGATAGAGCACAATGCAGATTTTAACGTTGGAACCTTAAGCTGCACTGAATAACCAACTCATGACGGCAAACTATCTCACCAGTAGGCATGGCATACCTGTTACCGGAGATGTTGTTGGAATAACTACTACAACTGGAGGTGGCGTTGTGGTAATTTTACTGCCGTCATCTAAAGGTAAAATAAACGTTATCACGTTTTGCTTCTTGTTTAGCTATTGTCGTAAAACGCACCTCTCTTTTCACAACCAGGTCTCCGAACAATAATCGTTGCTAAAAAAACTATCCCGTAGCATTATTGATCTAGCTTTTGACCTATTTAAGTCGCATTCCAACTATATGTATACAGATAAGCTAATAGTCCATCTCTGTTAACTGTTGAATTTAATTGAAAGGATATTGCTCGGTGGTTTAAGTGGGTGGTTTATAATCACATGAAAAACGCGCGCAAAATATTCCCGAAAGCTTGACTTCAGTTAAGTGTGGTTATTTAAGTCAGTGCATTGTTAAGCCAACTCGCTTCACGTGCGAATCGTGATTCACACTCTTCACGCGTGACTCCTGATTCATACTCTTCACGGGTGAAACGAGCGAAACGTAATTCATAATCGTCACGCTTGAAATGACTAGTGATTCACATGTCATGCGCGACTCTCGAGTATTTCTCGCCACGCGTGATGCGTGATTCAACTCGTAACTCGGGCGACTTTGTATGAAATAACGATAATGTCAGCACTCTGGCATCTTGTTAAGTAAGAGCAACTTTTTCCTAGTTTCTGTACATTACACGAAATTGTTAAGGTCGGAAAATATAAGTAAAAGGAATAAGGCGGCTTACCGCAATATCCACAGGTAGCAGCGCAGTCATATTCCATATAAGCCGCTTTACAGTCGTGCCCATTCGCCACGCGCCACTCACAAGTTTCCTTTCCAGCACGGTCATAACAGCGATCTGAAAACAGACAGAGCTTTGAACAACGTTTTGTTTGCGTTTTAGCCTTTTTAGTTTCCAATCGTAGCACGGTTTTCTCCAAAATTGCTTCAGTGCTACTTGCCTCGAGGCTTTTTATACCACGGTAGCATAGTCGCTTTGATCTTTTCCAGAAAAATAGATAAAGATAAAGAGAAAGGTCTTCTTCTTTCCGATCCCCCTCCCCNCCCCCCCCTTACCCCTTCCTGAGAAAGATCTAGCAATTCTGCTAGAAATCTTTATTTTATTTATTTAAAAAACACGGTAAATACATCAGGCATTAACAGAGGAATATTTTCGAGGACTTTTGTTGTACATGTACTGGGAAAATCATCATTCGTAATAGATTCTTCTAACATTAAGGTCTGCGTCTGTTTCACAACAGCGCTCCACTGCCTGATAATAGAACAGCAAATTAATAGTGTAAGCTTATGGTCAAAACTCAGACTTTTTTAGTCCAAAGGCTCATCAAATAAGGGACGAAGTATATGCTTACTTTCACAGTTTTCTCCGTAATAACCAGGCGGGCATTCCTTCGCTAAAGGGAATGAATCAGAAAGTTAGGATTTATGAAATTAAGCTCAACGTTCTCACTATATTAGCATAGTCCTGCAATGATCTATCTTCTATTCTAAACTGGATAACGTCATAAGTTTTCAAGCGTAAGACATCCTCTTCTTGGCCCTATTCTCGTTCACTCTACAGACATAAATTCCATTCTTTTTCATTCTTTTTCCTCACGAATTGTTGAACAGTTTCGTTTGTTGTGTTTCATTCTCCCATATAATTTTTCGACGAGTTTTTCCTCCCTTTTGAAATGGTCTCGCCCAGCGTCACGTTTGTCCTTGATTTTTGAGTATCGGGTTTGTTTTTTCTTCACCCACTTCCCCTTCAGTGGCGTCGATCTTGCCTTCATGATTTTCACATTTGAAAAATGTTTCGCATGTCATATTAGCAGAAATCACAGAATATCTTGAACGTAGTACGTTATCATCTGCTTTGCGGTTGTCGGCTATCTATTTTGAACAAATCTAACTTATTTAGGGTGTGTTCTGTTCGATGGATTACTATTCAACCGATAAAGATATGTTTTGCGCGCTGGAAATAGAATGATTCATCAACTTTTATTATCCTGAATATTCAAGCCAATTTTTAACCAATTTGTCCAGAATACACTTACGCACAAAAACTGTTCCTCAGTTGTTACGAAAATAAACACAGTGTACAGCAGGAAAAGAGGCCTTCAGTTTCACAACCTCCATTGAATTTTTTTCCTGTCACGCAAACCATACCATAAAAATTGATAATCTACTTTTTTCATGCCGAGGAGCTTACTTCATGTAGTTTACCTGAACAGTCCATACCCCGCCAACCAGACGGACAGGCACAAACACACTCCTGAAGGTTTACTGTTCCGCCATTAAGACATTTCAAAGGGCACCCTGAAGAGTTGATAAAACAAGACAAATCGGATGATCGTGATGTGGCTAAAGTTCTTGCAAAAGGAGCCTTCATGCAAAAGAATCAAATAGTTTTTTTTCGCAAGTCAAAGATTGACGAGTTTTGACAGATCAGTAATAGACATTTGCAGAGGACAAGCAGTGGGGGGGATAAAAGGAAACCCCCTTCTCCCATTCCCCCCAAAAGATGAATCCCGACAGGCCTTTTTCTCTCACCTTTTCTCTCCCAACCCCTACATTGTCTTTGGGAAGGATTTCTTTGTCTCTTCCCCCTCCCCTCCCCCCCTTCCCCGCCGCCTTCTAACACCCGTTCCTCCCGACTCTTATGACAACTTCTGAATAGACCACGACATTAAGTTTTATGTTTATTTTGGTTTCCGGAGTTATTTGGTGGGCACTGATTTCAAAACTTAATTGAAATGTCGAATGTGGTTGACTTACTGCATAAGTTGCACATTTTTGGGCACATCCTCTCCATTAAGTCTGGTTGTGTTGAACACATGGATTTTGGGAAACCTGTTGTTTTACCACAATGTTGGTCGAAGTCGGCACATTCTCCTACGAACAGAAAGATTACTTTACGTTTAGAATACTGTGTGCAAGTAAAAGATCACTTGATAAAGTGTGGTAGTATTGATTCGTCAAAGTGAAACTGCTGGAAAGTGTTGGAAACTGTTGCTAGTCGTCACACAGTAAGAGATATGTTGCAGAGAAGTGAGGCGGGGACAAGCCCCTTCATGTTTACGCATACATGTAGTACGCATGTTGCGAGGACAGTATGCAAACTGTTGCGCACGAAGCGGATTGAGGCATAAAAATGTCTTGTCGAGGGGCAGTTTGTAAGAGCAGTGCACACGTTGTGACATCGAAAGTTGAGGTCATTTTGTTCTTATCTCGTGACGCACGAATCCAAACCAGTTGAATTTCATACGACTTGTTGCGGAGACAAAATTTTGTCCCCGCGAAGATCTTTTTCGCACGCTCGGAAACGAACATGACACAAACTGTCGTTGCAACGTGTCCCCGCTTCATGTCCCCGCAACATGTGCTCTAGTGTGTGGCAACCATAATTTAATTGTAGGTCGATATGTTTGATTCCCGAGGACGGCACAGCCCGCTAGGGATGAGTAAGACCAAGGCCCTGTTCACACTACGCCGATGGAATTTGAAAATGCAGCTTTATTTGCACGGTTAGGCCTACCGTCCACACTAATTCGTCACGAAAACGGAACTTTTCGAAAACGCTCTTCAAACCGGAGGAATTTGAAAACGCCGGCTTTTCGTTTTCGTGTGGACAGA